AAACACAGGGTCTCTATTTACAAGAGGGTGATCAGTGCTGGAATTCATCTCGGTCAAAGATGTTCAGAGGTCTAAGTAATGGAGACTTATTAATGATACTATCATTATCAAGCTAGATATAACAGCAGGAAATTTGTTCAAGACTAATTGTGAGTAATGAATCCTTTCACATTATAGAAATTATTTGAAATCCTGTACTTTTAATAATTTTTTAATAATTCCTGAAAAGAACTTAGTTCAGAATCAACCATCTAGTTTTTACTGTTAAGATATATGATAACTTGAATATCTGTACAAAATAAAAATTCTGATTGGCTAAGACAAGAACAGTATCATTAGAGCATCCATCTATACACAGTGAATGACAGCATACCAAGCAGCAGTAGTGTGGGTGATAAAAATTACAATTATTAGCCAACAGTGAGCATTTAAGCACATCTGTAACCCCCACCAAAACTCGCTAACACAGCAACATTTTACACACTACTCACAGCAAAAGTTAACTTCATATCTTGGACTAAGAAATGCTTGTCCACCTGAGCTTGACCCTCTGCTCTGCTGGGAGGTAGGTGGATGGGTCAAGGATATGGCACACAGCTTCTTAAGACATGCAAGACAAAAGGAATGGGACTGCAAACTCCCATGAGGTTTCACAAGCAAATGGGTTGGTGGGAATTACACTCCAAAGCTACAGCAACACAAATAGAACATAGGTCAGATTATAAAAAAGCCAAATAAAATAAGGTAAAAATAAAATTACAAGGAAGGAATGAAGAGGAGGATGTTTGGACTATTAAACCAGTGTTTTGCCAAATGAATTAGTGTTGATAGTTGTTGTGAAAGTAGAAGTAAGCTTCTGCCAAATGTCCTTGACAGTGCTGTACTGTAGAAGATAAATCTTAGAAAAGACCCTAATGCTAACAGCATTTATTGTGAAAAAATGTTGAATGATATTGTGTTAAAGTACGTAGATATCATTTTTGATGGGTAATAATTGTACTTTTATTATACTGTAAGTACAATGTGTTGGAGCAATGAAAGTAGTTATTCAAATCTTGCCATGTCAATAATCATTTCCTTCTTATGGTTTTTAAATGTGTGTGTTCATATCTTCATTAAAATAAATATTATATTATCATATTTTGTATATTTGTTTAATCTTCTCATTTTATTTTCTTTGTTTATACACATTTTACTGACCCATGTAATGTAAATGCCAGCATTTCTCAGTGTAGCTTTACCCATCTTGATTATATATATACACACACACACACACACACACATACATTATATATATATATATATATATATATATATATATATATATAAATATATATATATATATATATATAAAATGAGATGGAGTACCCAACTATGCCTGGATCTCTCTCTCCCTCCCTATCTCCTCCTTTCCTCCAAATGCCCCCCCCCCCCTCCTATCTTCCCTTTTCTCCCCTCTCTACCATCCCCAGCTTTCTCCTTCTTAAAATCCCTCTCCACCCTTTTTTCTGTCTTACCCCCCTCTCTCCACAAAATCTCCCCTCCCTCTCCACCATTTCTTCCAATCTCCCCTCTTCTCTCACCTCTCTCCCTTCTCTACTCTCCCCTCTCCTCCCTCCCCTCTCCTCCCTCTCTTTCCCATAACATCTCCCTCTTTTTCCATCTCTCCTCCTGCCATCCCCTTCCCCCTCTCCTCCCTCTCTCTCCTGTCTCCTCTCTTTTATCTCACATTTCACCTGGGTAAATGGTAGAAGTAGAAGCATAAAACTCTACACTTTTCTCAACCCCTGATTGTATTTCAGACTCAATGAAAATCAATAGGCAGGGGCAATTAAGATGCCAATATTTCTCAAACCATGCCACTTGGGCTGACCATGATTAACCTGTGACACTCGCATATCCCTATGTTACATGTGAGAACTTGGGTGAGGCTATACATAAGGAATCAGTATAGTGTTGAATCGTTTAGCTGGATTATATGTGGGTGTAGGGATCTGGCTGATGATGGCTACCAGGCTTGTGGGAAAAGGAAGGGTGGGCAGAGGGGGGGGGCTGTGGGGTGGTGGTGATAGACTGTCTCAGACACTGCCATTATACCCCTTCTAGTACACTATAACCTCAATTCAACAAACTATATGGAACCAACCCCAATTTGTTGTAATGAGGGATTCACTGCAACTAGAAATGCCTCCAGGAGGCATTTGCATGAATTTCTTTACACAATATAGTGCCATAACTGTTTCTTGCAATGCTGTGTCAGCTATGAAAATCATTAAAAACGTGATTGGAGTCATATTAATTAAAACATAACCATTCATACCTTAATTCTTCCCATGCTCTATGGGCTGATTTCACTGAGCAAAATTTTAATTTTAACTTGTCATATGAAAAATAGCTACCAAGAAAACCTGTCTGTAAAGAGATTTAACAATATATTTCCCATGCCCTAGCCTAGCTGTCTCATTTTCAAAGAAAAAAGGCCTCATATTTTACCAAAGGAAAACCTTTGCAACTGAAAATAAAAAGAGAACCATAGATTTTTCCTTTAAAATGCTCAAAGGCTTTTCCAAAGATCCTAACTCATTTTGTAAGTGATTGGTGCCCTATTAAGAGTGTAAACATTTATAAGCTCATAATACTCACACTATGGACTGATTTTTACTAAGGAAATTTTTCATCTATCCTATGGTATGATAGGCAACTTTTTCAACAGTCTCTGAACTTTGTCCCAACATCCTAAACAAATCTGTACATCCCTAGGCTCAGTGAACTCTTGTTCATCGAATCGTGTGAGTAAATCAAACCTGGAAAATGATGTTCCAAATGGAGACCCGCAATAGAAGCTCATTGAATTGAGGTTCCACTTTGTATGTTTAAAAAAATGTCTGTCTCTATGTCCGAGGTTGGAGGCTACATGCTTAGCAATAGCCTTGCGGAACTTTTTATGATGATTTGTGATTGTATGGGGAGTGTCATAGGATGGTTGGGATTTGATGCCCATGATGCTCTTTGTGAAGAATTGGCTCGTATTTTGAATCCCAACAACTCCTATGAAGTATGAAATGTGGGTTTGATTGTCCATGGTGTGTTAAAACCAATTTTATTGCTGTTATCTATGTTTAATAAATGTCATTAATGTTGATTCAACGCCAATAACATTGATTCAGCATCGATTAAGTTCATTAAACATTATTCTAGCATTTTTGCCCAGTTAGAGAAAATGGGAAGGAGGGAGCGAGGCAGAGAGAATGGGAGAGAAGTAGAGAGATGGAGAGGAAAAGAGAACAGGAGGAGGAGGGGGGGATATAGGCATATATAATGTGAAGGAGGGAGGCAGGGAAAATGGGAGAAAGGCAGAGAAGGTGAGGGAGGAATAGGCAGAGAACATTGGAGGGAGGAGATAGGTAGAGAGAATGGGAGGGAGGGATGGGGGATGGAGGAATGCTGAGAAAATGGGAGAGAGGGGGGGAGATAGAGGCAGATAAAATGGGGTAAAAGGGAGGCAGAGAGAACAGGAAGGAGGTAGAGAAAGAGGGGCAGAGAGAATAGGAGAGAAGGAGAGAGGCAGAGAGAATAGAAGGGAGGGAGGGAGGCAGAGTGAATAGGAGGAAGGGGGAGAGAGGGGAGAAGGGAAAAGAAGACAGGGAGAGAGTTGGGTATAACTAGTACACCATCTAGTATGTATGTAACATATATATATATATATATATATATATATATATATATATATATATATATATATATATATATATATATATATATATATATATATATATATATATATATATATATATATATATATATATATATATATATATATATATATATATATATATATATATATATATATATATATATATATATATATATATATATATATATATATATATATATATATATATATATATATATATATATATATATATGCAGAAAGACCACATGTGAAAAATAGAAAATGCTTAATGCATTTTCAGCTTAATTCGCCTTCATCAGAGCAAAGTAGAATGAAGGAATGAAGCTTCATTCTACTTTGCTCTGATAAAGGCAAATTAAGCCGAAAATGCATTAAGCATTCTCTATTTTTCATGTGTGGTTTTCCGCATACTTGGATCAGTGTTTTTGTGATCATTGTTGCATATATTATATATATACTGTATGTGTATATATATATATATATATATATATATATATATATATGACAGTGTCAGACCACAAAGGAGGAAGTGAAACAGATATTTCCTTAAGTACTTTCGTATATTAATATATCTTCAGAAGGAATCATCTTCGATTCCTTCTGAAGGGTATTCCTTCAGATGTATATTAATACATCTGAAGATGTATTAATATACAAAAGTACTTAAGGAAATTCCTGTTTCAATTCTTCCTCCGTGGTCTGACACTGTCACATTTTTCATCACGTGTTAATTTTCATGATTTACACACACACACACACACATACACACACACATACATATATATATATATATATATATATTAGTTATTTTACTCGTTGTAATGAATAATGATAATGTGTTAATATATTAAAGCTTGTATAGCTGGATTTGATGATGTATGGTACTATTACAGTGTGGATCATGTAAATAAACATTTATCTTAACACTTCTTGCTGCCGAGTGAGTGCCGGTGCCTCATATAGTGTAAGTGTTAACACTAATAGCAAATTTTAAGTGTTGTTGCTGTATTTGTTGTTAGAACTATGACTACTTTTGTAAGTGACATTAATGAATTAATGCACACTAGTTCTGGTATGTACTTATAATTTATCAGTTTTAATTAACAAAAGATACTATGTGTCAGTACTGAAATGAAAAAAGGATGAGTAACCTACTGGTTTACTACAAGGGCCATTACTGACAAAGGTGGGATGGACAGATCAAGAGCATGGTACAGAAGAGGATTGGTGATGATGGTAGTGATGAATGTGAAGATCTTGAAATGGTATACCATCATTTGAACAAACTTGTGCTAAACTAACTTACCCATCTTTGGTCCTGGGCCTCGATTCATGTCATTGGGTCCTCCTCCACATTTCGGTGCAGGACCAATTGGTCCAACGCGAACATGCTCCACAGGTAGGACTCGCCGCCTTTTCTTCGGAAGTTTGGCTCTTGCTTGAGTGTGGCTGTAGTACATGGCAAAGTTCGACACGATGACAGGCACTGGCAATGCAATCGTCAATACACCAGCCAGAGCACATAGGGCACCTACAAACATCCCCACATAAGTCTTGGGTGCCATATCACCATAACCTACAGTGGTCATAGTGACCAATGCCCACCATAGACCAAGTGGGATACTGTTAAAGTCATTGTGTGGGTTTGCCTGTATCCTCTCAGCATAGTACACCAGAGAGGCAAATATCACGATGCCCAGCACCAGGAAAAACACAAGTAAGGTTAACTCTTTCGCTGATGCTCTGAACGTCTGTATCAGGATCTTGAGTCCTGAGGAGTGCCGCGTTAATTTGAATAACCTCATGATTCGAATGATGCTAAAGAACTCAAGAATGTCTGCATTTTCCAAATGTGAAGCAAACTTCTGAAGGAGAATGTCCACATAGAAGCTTAATGTAGCAATAAAATCAATCATATTTACTGATGCTTTAAGAAACATAAACTTGTTCGGAGACGCAATTAATCTTATTAATATTTCAAAGGTAAACCACGTGTTACACACACACTCTATATAAAAGAATGCTTCATGAGCATTAGTAGCTTTTTTGTCAAGTGTCCAAGCTGTAGTATTCTCAGCTGTCATCACTGTCACATTTTCTATAACTGGCACTCTCATATCTGGGTGTGTCTTCAGACAGAACGATAAGATAGACACGCAGATGAAGAACACCGATATCACACCAATCACCTGCACCAAGACACAAAGATTAGTATACTTTGGAAGTAAGATACAAAATGTTAAACAGGCACACATAATACTATCATTAAATATGAAAAGAATAAGGTAGCATAGGAACTATGCTCAGGACTGCATGCTTGTGAGCCACCTGTGCCAACCACAAAGCACAAAAGTACAGTATAGTTAAATGTTTCTCTTAACCAGTGAATTATATTCCATAGTCAAGAACTCTTTACTTTGTGTATACTCACATCACATATGTGCATAATCAGATCATTTTTAACTTTATGGCTGACTTCAGTCTCTCTCCTCTGTTTGACAATCCAAAATAACCATTAAAATAAAATTCCTGTTAAGTCTAGTTATGTTACAATGATTTTACCTTTGCAGCTTGAGAGGAGTATGGCTCATCAAAGAGAGACCATAATTTTGGTTTTGTCTTCTGCCACCATGAAAGGTTTCCAGAGAAGTAATCATCTTCAAAACCAAACTTTCTTGCTAATTCCTCCTCGCTAGGCTTATCTGTGTCCAGATCAAGTCGGTCCAGCACAGCCAATGTCTCTTGTGTGTCTCGATGCTGTGGAGCAAAGACTCAATCAGTAGCAATAAACATAGGCTTTTTATTCAGTTTATTTTTAAAATATATACAGCAGTTTTATTATAAAGTCTACAATTTTCTATTATTTTTATTTATATATAAAAGAGTTGTTACATTCTTGTAAAACCACTAGCACGCATAGTGTTTTGGGCTGGTCCTTAATCCAAATTTTTCCCCAGAATACGACCCGCCAAATCATTTAACAACCAGGTACCCATTCACTGCTGGGTGAACAGAGGCTACAGTTAAGGATTGCCACCCAGTCAATCCTCCCTGGCCAGGATACGAGCCTAGGCCAAAGCGCTCACGAAGCACTGGGTGAGTGCTCTACCACTGCACCACAAAGACCACTGTACCAGGGACCACGGGGACTACATGTACAATATGCAGTACTATAGTGATAGTAGTGCTTCTGACAACTCTAAAGAAACAGTACATATATATTGTACATATATATGATGAAATTATAATGTTTAGGATTATTATTATTACGGATTCATTAACATCTATGACATTTGCAGATAACTAAGGGCTTATTCAGTGTATAATATATATATATATATATATATATATATATATATATATATATATATATATATATTTACTCTACCCACCATGAGAGTAAGGACAAGACAAGAACATATCGATGCCAACACAGAAGACAATGTCCAACATAACAGGCCAATTACACTGGATTAATCTTTGTGTTTAGATAGGAGATGCCTCGTATGGGCCAATAAGCCTTCTGCAGCCCCTATGTTTATCCCTTATGTATCCCCCCATGTTTTCACCTTCATTGTATTATCACCTGACCTAATGCGGGTATAAAATCAACTAGTATTGTAAGATCTGTTCACTTGAGAATGAACCATGGAGGTTCGAAACGTCGTGCAAATTATACAAATAAGTGTAATACACTCTATAGTAAATCACTTCTTTTCTTCACCTTAAAAGTACGAAAATGAGTTTTGGAGAACTCCTATTTCAATTAAGCCCTGATGCTAAGAAAATAGTTAGAGGGATAGAAGCCCTAAACCAGAAAATAATAAACACAGAATATGTGGTCATATTCAATGAAACATGTTTGAAAGAAAACCTGCTGCCAGTATACACCAATATATATATATATATATATATATATATATATATATATATATATATATATATATTTATATATATTATTATATATATATATATATATATATATATATATATATATATATATATATATATATATATATATATATATATTATATATATATATATATATATATATATATATATATATATATATTTATATTATATATATATATATATATTTTTTTTTTTTTTGAGATATATACAAGAGTTGTTACATTCTCGTACAGCCACTAGTACGCGTAGCGTTTCGGGCAGGTCCCTGGAATACGATCCCCGCCGCGAAGAATCGTTTTTTCATCCAAGTACACATTTTACTGTTGCGTTAAACAGAGGCTACAGCTAAGGAATTGCGCCCAATCCTCCCCGGCCAGGATACGAACCCATGACATAGCGCTCGCGGAACGCTAGGCGAGTGTCTTACCACTACACCACGGAGACTGTAAATTGCAATATATATATTTAATTGCAATATAAAAAATAATATAATATAAAAATTGCAATATATATATATATATATATATATATATATATATATATATATATATATATATATATATATATATATATATATATATATATATATATATATATATATATATATATATATATATATATATATATAACTTTAGAACACTTTCCCACCAGGTGACTCGAACCCTAGCCAGCACAGAAGCCTTCCAGCAACTGGCATAACAGGTACGCCTTAACCCGCTCCACCACCCGCTCAGACCCTTAAAAGAGATGGTAATTTCGGAGTATTTAAATACACAAAAGATCACCACCTCCCAAGAGCACTAGAGCAAGTGAGGGGTCATTTAGACGTTAATTTCATCAAGTCCCTGTTAATATGGGAAGACACAGTGTCTATGCTTAAGGCACAACTCTCCTAAACACGAGAGTGAAGTATAGAACTTTAGAACACTTTCCCACCAGGTGACTCGAACCCTAGCCAGCACAGAAGCCTTCCAGCAACTGGCATAACAGGTACGCCTTAACCCGCTATATATATATATATATATATATATATATATATATATATATATATATATATATATATATATATATATATATATATATATGTCGTACCTAATAGCCAGAACGCACTTCTCAGCCTACTATTCAAGGCCCGATTTGCCTAATAAGCCAAGTTTTCATGAATTAATGTTTTTTCGTCTACCTAACCTACCTAACCTAACCTAACCTAGCTTTTTTTGGCTACCTAACCTAACCTTACCTATAAATATAGGTTAGGTTAGGTTAGGTAGGGTTGGTTAGGTTCGGTCATATATCTACGTTAATTTTAACCTCAATAAAAAAAAATTGACCTCATACATAGAGAAAAGGGTTGCTTTATCATTTCATAAGAAAAAAATTATAGTAAATATATTAATTCAGGAAAACTTGGCTTATTAGGCAAATCGGGCCTTGAATAGTAGGCTGAGAAGTGAGTTCTGGCTACTAGGTACGACATATATATATATATATATATATATATATATATATATATATATATATATATATTATATATATATATATATATATATAGTATATATATATATATATATATATATATATATATATATAGTATATATATATATATATATATATATATATATATATATAGTATATATATATATATAGTATATATATATAGTATATATATATAGTATATATATATATATATATATATAGTATATATATATATATATATATATATATATATATATATATATATATATATATATATATATATATATATATATATATATATATATATATATATATATATATATATATATATATGTCGTACCTAGTAGCCAGAACGCACTTCTATGCCTACTATGCAAGGCCCGATTTGCCTAATAAGCCAAGTTTTCATGAATTATTTGCTTTTCGACTACCTAACCTACCTAACCTAACCTAACCTAACTTTTTCGGCTACCTAACCTAACCTAACCTATAAAGATAGGTTAGGTTAGGTTAGGTAGGGTTGGTTAGGTTCGGCCATATATCTACTTTATTTTTAGCTCCAATAAAAAAAAATTGACCTCATACGTAATGAAATGGGTAGCTTTATCATTTCGTAAGAAAAAAATTAGAGAGAATATATTAATTCAGGAAAATTTGGCTTATTAGACAAATCGGGCCTTGCATAGTAGGCCGAGAAGTGCGTTCTGGCTACTAGGTACGACATATATATATATATATATATATATATATATATATATATATGTCGTACCTAATAGCCAGAACGCACTTCTCAGCCTACTATTCAAGGCCCGATTTGCCTAATAAGCCAAGTTTTCATGAATTAATGTTTTTTCGTCTACCTAACCTACCTAACCTAACCTAACCTAGCTTTTTTTGGCTACCTAACCTAACCTTACCTATAAATATAGGTTAGGTTAGGTTAGGTAGGGTTGGTTAGGTTCGGTCATATATCTACGTTAATTTTAACTCCAATAAAAAAAAATTGACCTCATACATAGAGAAAAGGGTTGCTTTATCATTTCATAAGAAAAAAATTATAGTAAATATATTAATTCAGGAAAACTTGGCTTATTAGGCAAATCGGGCCTTGAATAGTAGGCTGAGAAGTGAGTTCTGGCTACTAGGTACGACATATATATATATATATATATATATATACTGTATATATATAACTGAAAACTCACACCCCAGAAGTGACTCGAACCCATACTGCCAGAAGCACTCTGCAACTGATGTACAGGATCCCTTAACCACTCGACCATCATGATCGGACAAAAGAGGATGGTAGCCGAGGCTAATTCCCCATCCTCCCACCGTCACTGACAAATTTGGAATCTGTCAGCAAAAAAATCCAAATCTTCCAACAAAAATTAGAATCCACCAATAAAAAAGTCAAATCCACTAATTAAAAAAATCAGAATCTGCCAACAAAAAAATTTCCAAAACCACTAATTAAAAAAAATCAGAATCTGCCAACAAAAAAAATCCAAATCCATCAACAAACAATTCAAATCTGCCAACAAAAAATTCTAATTCTGCCAATAAAAAAAAATCCAAATTTGCCAACAAAAATAAAACAAATCCACAACAAAAATATCCAAATCTGCCAACTAAAATATCAAATCCACCAACAAAAAAAATTCTAATTCTAAATCCACAAAAAATCTGTGAATTGAAAAATTCTAATTCTAAATCTGTCAACAAAAAATCCTAATTCTGCCAACAAAAAATCTAAACGGGGCCAAAAAAAATATCAAATTCGCCAACAAAAAAAAAACACATCTGCAAAAAAAAAAAAAAAAAAAAAAAATTGCCAAAATAAAATTCAAATATGCCAGGAAAACATTTAAAATCCACTAACATAAAAATTCTGTTTCTGCCAACAAAAAAAATCCAAATCCACCAAAAAATATACAAATCCGCCAACAAAAAATCCAAATCCGCCAACAAAAAATTCAAATTCGCCACCAAAAATTGCAAATAGGCCAACAAAAAAATTCAAATCCGCCAACAAAAATAATCCAAATCCGCCAACAACAAATTCTAATTCCACCAACAAAAAAAATTCGCCAACAAAAATTACAAATCCACCAACAAAAAATGTAAAATCTGCAAAAAGATCAAATCCACCAAAAAATGCAAATCTGCCAACAAAAGAATTTCAATCTGTCAAAAAATCCAAATCTGCCAACGAAAAATTCAAATCCAGTAACACAAAAATTCAAATTCATCAACATACAAATTCTGAATCTTCCAACAAACAAATTCCAAATCCACCATATACATACACTGAAGTAACACATTTTACCAAATGATGCTGATCACATCTGTTTAGAAGTATTCAGTAAGTATTAGTGAGAAGACGTACCGCAGTGTAGGTCATCCAACAGCAGGGTTCCACCTGGTTGGAGTCCAAGCCCCAGTACTCCAGTTCCTCCTCAAACAGTGGGCCGCATACATCAGTTGGGTAGTGCAGCTTGCCGGTACGATAGTAATTCAGCACCTGCAACATAGGTCTTCATAAATTATCATACACAATAACGTTATTATTAAATGTTAACTTAATATAGAAGAAGGTTCAATAGCTTATTTTCTTTCAAAATTGGGTGGTTAACAGGTACATTTTGGCAAAACCACTTCTGTAATGTAATACGACTGTATATCTCCCTCTGGGTAGAACCGCAATTAATCAAATGGCATCAGATCGACAATTGTTTCCTTCTGGTTGTGAATAAACTTTCCACCACCGTCCACTGTAAGGGTATTGGGTTCTTTTTAAGTAAATTACAAATTATAAGTAACTAGCTCACTAGAATCGTAAATTGCTTAGATTCGAGAATGTTGTGGTCCCGTCAAGCAGTTACGCATGAACTTTACCAACTTGTACTTATTTTTCTCAATATTTGGCGACTTTGTTTATATTTATTCTTTACTATCATGGAAACTTCCCCGTCAAATGATACTATTGTTATAAACAGCCTCCTAGTGCTTTGGTACTCAAAATGTTTAATAAATGTAAACAAACCTGCCAAAGATTGAGAAAAGATATACAAGTTTCGCAAGTAGATGTGTAAATGTTTGTTGACTCCCAGCTCTGGAGTTTTGTTGTTGTTGTTGTTTTTAGATTCAGGTACTCGGAAGTAATGGTTCCAAGTAGCACGGGCCATGGTGAGCCCGTTGTGGACTTACCTGGCACAGGAGTGGGGCCGTGAACTCTTTGAGTTTTTGAACGCCCATTATGCTCAACAAACCAACCCGTTTTCGACTTAAGTCCAGCAGTCGACCCCACAGACGCATTCATAAATTTGTACATGTTGTTCATTCAAAACATGAATTTTCTCAATTATAAATTTATATTATAATATATTACCATATTGTGCATATACAGTGGCACCTCAACATACGAATGCCCCTACTTACGATAATTTCGAGTTACGATGTAAATTTCATCGAAAAATACGACTCGACATCCGATGGTATCGTCGACTTCCGATATTTGTTGGTACACGTTCGGGTCGACTGAGCGCATGGTTCCCCGTCACGCGGCCGACCTGCCTCAGTTTATTACAGCTGCCCGCTTAGTGACGATCGCGCCTATAAGAAGTTCCGCTTTTGTGGTGATTTTTTGCATTTTGAACATTAAAGTAATTATTATATATCATGCCATGAGTCCCAGGAAAGTCAGTGGTAAGGCTCAACATATGAAAACCTATGTAAGGATGATCATAGAGCAGAAACAAGAGTACAGAATGTCTTCCTCAACAATTAAGAAAATGTGTGCAGCACGGGAAGAATTGCAAACCTTTGCTGAAACGACTCACCCAAATCAAGCTGCAGAAGGTCGTTGCCTTAACCTATTCAATTACACTGTGATGCATCATTACAGCCAAATGTTAAAATAAAGGGAAAAACAAATGTCTCTTGACAAATTTGTAGCGAGACAAACAAGCACTGAACCACAACCAGGTCCTAGTGGTATTCAGGCAAAACGTAGGAGAGAGAGTACCCCAGAGAAAACATCACTGCCTGATGTGATAATGGAAGGGGACTCCCCTTCCATACAGGAACAACTCTCTTTCTCCCCCCTCATCACCATCTTCCATACGCCATCAAGAGCCCTCCATAAAGGTAAGAGACACTTTGGTACTGTATTGTAGTTAGAAAAACATTGTATTCAGTATAAAATGTATTTGTATGTTAATATTTTGGAGGGTGGGGAACGGATTAATTCAATTCCCTTTATTCCTTACGGGAAAAATCACTTTGACTTACGATCCGTCTCTGGGAACGGATTAGCATCGTAAGTCGAGGCCCCATTGTATAGGCATAGTTTAGGTTAGGTGTTTATGTCATGTTGGCGATTATTTGTATTTGTAGTACGTGGGTGAAGCATTTACAGCGTTGTGGTTCGAACAAAAGTTGTCAGCAAAGCACTTGTTCCTGAAGTGTTCGAACGGCGATTGTGCATATAATGCACAATTTTTATGGGTGTGCAAAAACGGTTTACACTCGTTTTTCATTCATAAATGGGGTTTGGCGGGTGCATGGAATCACTTTTGGGTCTTTGTTTGGAAGACGGGCTGCAACAAACAGCCCATCCTCCAAACAAAGATTCAAAAGTTCTGTAACGGTTCTATTGTTATGTTACGTCTCCTGGCGTTCTGCGAGCGCTTTGTCATGGGTTCGTATCCTGGCCGGGGAGGATTTAATGGTCGCAAATCCTTAACTGTAGCCTCTGTTTAACTCAACAGTAAAATAGGTACTTGGTTGTAAAAACGATTCTTCGCGGCGGGGAACGTATTCCAGGGACCTGCTCGAAATGCTACGTGTACTAGTGGCTGTATAAGAATGTAACAACTCTTGTATATATCTCAAAAAAAAAAAAGTATGGTGACAATAAACACAAACACTAAGAGAATGTATATATTTGGTCGAGTATACAGAAGTATGCAGGTGATACCTTGGCGAGCAATGGTGTGAGTTGAGCACACTGAGAATCAGTACAGTATCTCGCAAGTGTCTGTTCTAGACCACACTTGAAAGTAGACTAGTTATTATTCGATTGATGATTGATGAAGATTAAGCCACCCAAAAGGTGGCATGGGCATGAATAGCCCATATGTGGTGGCCCTTTTGAGCCATTTCCAGTATCAATAGATGATACTGGAGATCTGTGGAGGTGCGACTGCACCCTGCGTGACGGGAGATGTCTCCCGTAGTTATTATTCGCTACTCTGCTGTTTATATGCTCGGGCAACACCTCACCGTTCTCCAAAGGTTGGCAGGAATATTAACTGGAAGTAGGGAAAGGTTTGAGTTCCATAATTAGTACTAAGAAGAGCTTTGCTTCTCTCATTAGGCTAATACGTTTGGAGTGAGTATATTATTGGGATAATCTACTCGCCATAACAGTCCATAACAGCACTCGCCAAACTCCGTTTATGAATGAAAACGTTTCACACAACTCACGATTGATGACGTTCGAACACTTCCGGAACAAGTGCTTTGCTGACAACTTTTGTTCAAACCACAACGCTGTAAATGCTTCACCCACGTACTACAAATACAAATAATCGCCAACAGGACCTAAACACCTAACCAAACCAGAGCCTAAATTTGCACAGTATGCTAATATATAATAATATTCATATATATTTGAGAAAAGTTCTGTTTTGAATGTTAACATTGATGAATGCGTCTTTGGGGTTGACCGCTGGATGGAAATGGACTTGGTCTGAATATAGGTTGAAACAAAAGCCCTATTGTACGCTAATCATTAAACAGTGTAACTAGCTCATCAAGGATATAACTTGCTTAGTAAATGAATTTGGGGGTTCACTTCCTGAGCCCATTTTACCTGAGGGGCCACTACACTCTAATGGCCTCGACGATGACAGGAAGCCGACTGCTTATCAAAGGTCCGCCCATTTGTTCTGACGACTTTGCATACGAGGAGTCACAATAACGTGGCTGACGACTTTTTCAAATTGGATTTTAAAGTTCATTGCAGCAGTTTTGGTATTTTCGGCTGGTAGACAGTTCCGAGGGGTTTATAACTCAGTAGGTGAAAGAGCCAACCCGTCTTCCAAACAAAGACCCAAAAGTGATTCCATGCACCCGCCAAACCCCCTGTTTATGAATGAAAAACGGTTTACACACGACTCACAACTGATTTCGTTCGAACACTTCCAGAACAAGTGCTTCACTGACGAATTTTGTTCGAATCACATGGCTATAAACAGCCCGTCCTCCAAACAAAGATCCAAAAGTGATTCCATGCACCCGCCAAACCCCCTGTTTATGAATGAAAAACGGTTTACACACGACTCACAACTGATTTCGTTCGAACACTTCCAGAACAAGTGCTTCACTGACGAATTTTGTTCGAATCACATGGCTATAAACAGCCCGTCCTCCAAACAAAGATCCAAAAGTGATTCCATGCACCCGCCAAACCCCCTGTTTATGAATGAAAAGCGGTTTACACACGATTCATAACTGCTGACGTTCGAACATATCCGGAACAAGTGCTTCACTGACGAATTTTGTTCGAATCACAACGCTATAAATGCTTCACCCACATACTACAAATAATCACCAACAGAACTTAAACACCGAACCTAACCTAACCTATGCCTATATATGCACAATATGCTAATATATCATAATATTAATTTATATTTGAGAAAATTCCCATTTTGAATGAACAGCATGTAAAAATTTATAAATGCGTCTGTGGGATCGACCGTTGGATGTAATGGATTTGAGTCTAGGACGGGTTGGAAAGAACATCGGATTTCAGTCCTACATTTACGGGCTATTCATGCCCGTGCCAGCTCTTGGGTGGCTTAATCATTATCAGTCAATCAGTTCTACATTGTACCTTGTTGAGCTTCAAATCGTTGTTTCTTGTTTGTGTTCCATCTGACCGTTTGAAGAAGTTTGGATCAACGTCCTCCAAATTGTTCAGTATTTTGAATATTTCGACGAGATCAGTCCTATCATGTCTTGTTTGCAGTGTTATTAGCCTTGTGGCCCTCAACCTGTCCTGTTAAGAGACTTGACTTAGTTCTGAAATTAATTTTGTTGCCCGGTGTTGAGCCTCAATATTTTCTCCAATAAAGCCCTGCCTTTCTGAAGATAAGGTCTCCATGACTCGATGTAATAATCCACGTGGGGGCGCACCAGAGATTTGTACAATTGAATAACTACCTTTTTTTTCTTATGCCTCTAATTTTTCCACTACCGTCCACAGGATGGATATGGGGTTCAATACCTCCCACGGGATGGCTATGGGCCCACTACTGTCCAGTGGATGGGTATGGGGTCCACTACCACAAACAGGATGGGTACGGGGTGTATAGTAATTGAATGAAAAGGAGAGTGTAGTATCTAAAAAAGAGAGAACGATGTGAGGTGAGAAATATCATAGAGGGGGGGGAAGAGACAAAATGTTCGAAAGTTCAAGGAAATAATCACGCACGTCAGGCAAAAATTACTGTAGCAGTTATATTAAAGGTAAAGAACACTTTTTTTTTCCAAAAAACGGTGGGTTTTCTAAGAGAAAACGTATGTCTGGAAGCCGAGTTTAACCGCCCAAGCTGCGCGCGCAACGAGCCGAGGTTATATAAACTCTGCCTGCAAAGTTATTTATTTATTTATTATTAATTTATTATTTACCATTATAAAATAAACAAGTCCCCAATCAGAGCGCATTTTCTTCCAACCTCAGAAAATATAGTTGCTCCAAAGTTCTCAAATTTCATTACAGGCAATTATATGTGTCTGTTCGGTTGCTCCAAAGTTCTCAAATTTCATTACAGGCAATTATATGTGTCTGTTAATTCCACACAACGTCTTTTTTTATCCCCTACGAATTCCACATTCCAATTAGTCCTACTCTAAGTGCTTTAATTACAATTAATTATATACCTTTTTCCCGTTGTTTCCAGGAATCAATTAGGGCAGCCGAAAGGTAATCAGCAAGATGATGGTCAACTTGGCAAGTTAAGCGAAACGTGGAATATAAGCCGTCAAAATACGAATCGTCCACAGCCAGCACAGAGATAATATACATCTGATCATAGAAATCCTACAAATATAGGAAAAGAAGCCCACAATCTACGACTGTCAATCACCCTAAATTGGATACCAAGTCACATTGGCATAGATGGTAATGAAAAGGCAGACTCACTAGCAAAAACTGCCACTGCTCTACCTGTTGTACAGGTTAAAATACCTCCAAGTTTTTCAGATTAAGGAGCAAATCAAGAAGAAAATACTCCCAACTATCAAAAGTCGCCGCAGAGCCAAAGTAGTGGAAGGAAGATCCACTGCGATGTGGTACGAACAAACCACTAGGTACTACTCTTTCAAGCCTGGCAAAAAGATATCCAGAGACATTGCAGTAGCCATACACAGACTCAGACTTGGTTACATTTATTAAGGAGCAAATCAAGAAGAAAATACTCCCAGCTATCAAAAGTCGCCGCAGAGCCAAAGTAGTGGAAAGAAGATCCACTGCGATGTGGTACGAACGAACCACTAGGTACTACTCTTTCAAGCCTGGCAAAAAGATATCCAGAGACATTGCAGTAGCCATACACAGACTCAGACTTGGTTACAAGTGCTGCTGGGAGGTAATAAACCCAATAGTTCAAGAGTGTCATATCTGTGGAACAGAAGCAGAGACGCCACTATTGCACTACTTACTGGAATGTGAAGCAACTGAAGCCCTGCGCATCAAACTTAACATTAATCCAATGAGAGCAGCTGCATTAGATGCAAATTCCGCAGCGACAACAATTATTAGAAAAACAGTTGAAGAATGAGACACACTAGTGAACAGTGCATCTACATCCGCCACCAATAAAATGTTATTAAAACAAGACTAAAACCAGTGCGCTAAAACAGAAGCGAAACAGAAACAGGGGAAAAGGAGGAAACCCCACCTCCATTTAAAAATTTTGACCAAAATATCACAGCAACAAGGTTATCGCGAATAACCGAACTCAATTAAGGGCTCACGATATACATATAGCCCGTGCTACATGGACATTTTGTTCAGAGTAGCTGAATCTAAAACAACAGCAACGGATTTTCGTCAGGTTTACTCCTGTAGTGGTTCAGTGAAACGCTCTGCATATATTTCGGATCTTCTTCAACACCATCAACATTCACCAGCAACAATGTAACATTCGGCGAGTCTAGTTCTTACTCTCACGAGACGCTACAGCCTCGCCACAGAGCAGACAAATTCCGGCCATACTCGAACTACCCGCTGTCACCCCACATTCGAGCTCTCTAGCCCCGGCCTCGTTCTCTGCTCTAGGACTTATCTCAGTTATCACGACGTCATTATATTTCCAAAAACCGACTACTGTAACCAAGACTACATTAAATAAACAAAAAACACTAAGCTCCTTGAATGTTGTCACATAAATTCGCACGAATTATGTGCTTCCGAGAAAAACACGAATGAAAATTGGTTAATTGAAATAAATGTGGAGGTAAATAATGATTCGGAAAAGAATGTAAATAAGGGTTTCACGAAACTGTCAAAATTAGCCTATGCTTCGCAAGTAAATATTTCTAGCTTTGGGAGGCCATACTGAATAAAAGATTTGCATCATTCTAGACTACATAAATAAATGTCTAACCAAAAGAATCAGTTCGGGGAAATTATCAACCCTCCCCCTCTCTTCGAATTATGGAAAATTATTCAATTAATTGTACCAAAAATGAACTGAACATACTTCTTGATGACCAGGATTTCATAAAAAAAAGGTTGCCTTTTCTTTAGTACCACAAGAAACCTTATTTATTTTGCTACATTTGTTTTTTTTTAATGAAATTGGTTAACTATGTATTATTTCATTTTTAAGTTGCACATGATAATGTGAATAGTGTCGGCAATACTGGAGAGTTACCAACAATATTTTATTTTCTTATGGAATCAAAAAATAATGAGATTATTTAAATACAAGTAATTGGAAAGTATATTAAATGTTATTTAATTAAAAATATATAGTGTTGAGAATTTATGACACTGCATTTTCGTCCAGGAAATATTTAAATTTGAAAACTCCATTTAGAGCTTTTACTTGAACTTTGTTAGTTTATATTTAATTTTGATTAATTGTTCACACCATACCCAAATGAACAGGCTTTACAAAATTACAAATTAAATTCTGAAAGAGGTCATTTTAATATTTGAAGTATTTGTTAAAACATACCAAATTCATATTTTTTTATTTTTCAATTACAGGTATTTGGAAACATAAAAATACTGTTTAGTAATCGGTAAGTATTTAGAATTTTGTTTGCTCTTTCCAGTAACGCCAAATAAATGAGTCAATAATATTTGTTTATACAGCTAGCAAAGCAAAACAGGGGAAAACAATTGTTGAATTATTTGTTTTCTTTCTCTAAACTCTGTAAGAGTAAGCATGCTTACTTTCTACAGGTTAAATATCACAAAAATATAAATCATAACAATTTTAATGGGTAACTGAGGCCTTTAAGGAATAATAGTAACCGTAAAAACAATATATGAAACTTAATACGAAATATGTTTGTTTTTTCAGTATAAAAGCATTCTGGTCATAGAGAGTAGAGTATGTGCGGAGTGTGAGACTGACAACTGTGGCCACGTGATCAATCAAGCTGTGACAAGATGCGCGTTCACTAACCTGTGCGAACACCCCAGGATGTCGGTCAAAGAAATACTCATTGAGGATGGGATCATAATTAGCCAGAGCCTCTGTCAGGCGGGAGAGACGGGTCGCAGGGATCTTTTTCAAAGTAGCCTGGAATACACATACAAGTTCATTAATATCGCACATCATGATGAGGTTATACTGAACAAGCCATGGCTCAGTAGTCCAACCTGTCCTCTGGAATAACATATCGTATTTTACGTCCTCATATCGTGAGGACGTAAAAAAAAAAATTCCCGACGTTCAACATATAATGTACTATAAATCATGCCGACATTCATTTGACGGGCTGTCACGTTTTCTATTCGTGGGACCAACGGTTAGGTTAGGTTCAGGGCAATTTAGTCCATCATTTCTGTCACGTTGTAACAACTCGAGAGGACGCTGTGATTAACCAGCCCAGTATGATGACAGCAATTGCCTGAATTTGCTATTATACAACTCCTACTGTCGGGGACAGGAAGCCTGTATTTATATTTATCGAGACCCCCCCCCCACCCTCCTCAACGCTAACTATTGACCATCCCCAGGATGCAACCCACATCAATTTGTGTACTCCTGGGTACTTATTTATTTACTGCTAGGTGACCAGGGCCATCAGGCGGAAGGAAATTCGCCCCCAAAATTATGTCCCTCTGGGGATTGAACCCGGAATCCTACATAGTGAGGCCAGGACGTAGACCACTGTTCAACAGGAGCAATTAAACCATGTTCAACAAGCTCTTCAGAAACACCACGCCTAAAACTGAGATTATTTTGATTGCCTTTGATAAGTGAAGATAAAATTATTGTGAGAGTACTACACAACAGTACTATTAGCGTCTCTATAGTGTCTTGTACTATACTATTTGCGTCTCTATAGTGTCCTGTACCACACAACAGTACTATTAGCGTCCCTATAGTGTCTTGTACTCCACAACAGTACTATTAGCGTCTCTATAGTGTCTTGTACTCCACAACAGTACTATTAGCGTCTCTATAGTGTCCTGTGCCACACAAGAGTGCTACAGCCGTTTTTATGTTCTGTAAAACATCCGAAATAATCGGTCTCACTTTTCAAGTCAAATTGCGTTAAATTAGCCTGATTTTCTTTTCTTTAACAAACTATTTATTATTTAATTTAAAAATCTATTTAATTATTGTATTTAAAAACTATTTATACTTTTCAAACTATTTAACAAAGTTATTTTGACTCGTCTAATTTTCATCCCACCTTCCTGCTTTGTCGTTCCTGAATACTTTTCTTTACCCGACTTATTTTCACGCCACCTGACTCATTTTCACGCCACCTGGCTCATTTTCGCGCACCACCTGACTCATTTTCACGCCACCTGACTCATTTTCACGCCACCTGGCTCATTTTCACGCCACCTGACTCATTTTCACGCCACCTACCTCATCATGGGCCCCACCTACCTCACTAAGAGCATCTTACCTTATACGTCTCGTGTCTTATTCCGCCCACGTTAAGGACCACCCTGTTCTCGGCATCCATGGCTGGGTGGGCGGGCCTTCGCGGTGGTCAGCAGAGACGGTGAGGGCGTGGCGTGGGCGTGTCGTGGTGGTGGTGAGGGCGTGGCGGAAGGGGGGAGGAGAGGGTCAGGTGGTGGAGACCTCGCTACTCCCCCACCGCCGGCTCCTTCCCTGGTAACGGACAAAAAATATTTTATTCAAAAGTAGAACAATGAAGTATCTAATTTTATCACTATATTATTGTCCCCCCCCCCCTTCCTTCAGAAATGGTGTTATCTCTGAATCGCGGAATTCGGAGATAACATCATCAGTGGAGTTCAAGAAATGTGTAAGTACTTCATTCATAATGATGTGCTGCCAGGAATCTTAGCCAAGATTTGGTTACTGTAGGTGCAGCCTGCACATGACTGTAAAGCTGCCGCCCAGTTGGGTGGGTGTGGAGCAAGACTAGTAACTGTGTGACTCACCATAGATGTAAAGTGCCTTGTATAGTGACTGTTGTGAGCCTCTTGTTGAATCTCTTGTGATGTGAAAAGATTATTGATATGTTTATGTATTTGTGTACATGTATATATATCTACATATGTATGCAATATTAATAAGTGTGCAACCAGTCTCACAAGATTGTCATTTGCTTAGCTAAACGAACTATGGGGTTCAGTTCCTGAACCAATTATGTGCCTCTGTAACCATTTACACCCCCCACGGGACTGGTATGGGGTGCATAACAGACATGAAATGAATGAAATTAAAATAAGCAAGTCCTAATCCAACTTAGAATCCAACCCCACAATACCACGCGCCTGTAACGAGTCTCTAGTGAGGCACAATATCAAAGGCTTTGTTAAAGTTACAGAATGTCCAATCCTTTTTATTCTCAACTGTCTGAAAAATGATGACAAAGAAAGAGTAAATTTGTTAAACACGACCAACCCTTAGTACAACCATGTTGTGCATCCTCACAACATACTCGCCCTTGTCACCCTGCGCCCTTACGCTAGGCGTCACCCTGAGTCGCTATCACTCTAGGAGTCACCCTGAGTCGCTATCACTCTAGGAGTCACCCTGAGTCGTCCTCACTCTAAGAGTCACCCTGAAGCCCCCTCACCTTAGACATCACCCTCAAGCGCCCTGTCCACTGGTCTTTGTAAGAGCACAAGTGGCTTCCCCAGCGCTCAAGTCATTGTTTCAAGGAGCGCCTTTTGTTGCCGTTTCCTCAATAGCAGACTGCCGCCCGCCTAGGATAACTCCTCTCTTGACGCTTGGATGTTGCTCCCCAGCACCCACAATGTGCTGGGAGGCTAGGTGCTGCTACTCTCAGCACCCACACTGTGCTAGGAAGCTAGGTGCTGATACTCCTAGCACACACACCCAGCTAAGAACCTTAGCTTCCACCACCCTACCGCCGTGGGGTGGTGGAACCAAAGTATCCACTTGTCTGGGCTCCCGCATGGTGAGCTCTCATTGGCTATTTCAAATACAGACCATCCTGATTTGCCAAATTTGTGTTTCAAATGATCTCAAACATCATGCCAGCCCGTTGAGATTTTATAATCAGCTCATGTACAGCGAGATTAATTTGATTATGTTAAACACTTTCCGCCATGATCTTCCAAAATATTACAATGTAGTCACTGATGAATTTTATAGCGAAATAATCCGCAAGTCGTTACAAACGCCGACACCTGCTTAACTCTTTCAAGTCTCTATTTGTGGCAATCTGTGCCCTTCCTACTTTGTCCACACGATCGTATACCAGGGATATGGGATCTGATCTCATCACCCCGTTGACTTAGTGACTGTGCCAAAAAAAAAAAAAAAATGCTCATTATCTCCCTTCAACACCAACACACATGAGGTGTTTCCATGGTACTGATGCTAGGTCAAATAAAAAAAATGCCAATTTTCCTCTTTCCTCACTTACTCCCTCTTGTCTGGGCTGACTTTGTATAAGTGTTATTCTTAAACTTTGTATCATAGACACACTACATCAAACACCAGAAGGGTTGTTTGTCTAGGCATGGCTAGATATATTTGTGAATAATGCGTCATACCTTCCAGTCAGGTCCTTCAAATTATCTTTCTGCTAGCTATCAAGATAGACATTTATGTTCTAACTGTTCTAACACTTCTGAATTTTCAAGTTTAACCTCATTAAGGCTGCTTATGTTCAGTTGAACTCCTCACATCTCGGTTCTTCTCCACTATCAAGTACGTTACCTTCTTTCCGATGAGTGTTGCTTCTTAAGGCTTCTACATCTTCACCAGATCACTCTATAAGTCTTCTTAAATGTGGCTTTCAAAGGCTCGCGTGGATCAACATAAATTTCTTCTGACAGTCAGGCGTTTCTCCCACATAATTTAGATCGTTCATTTTATTTGTGTTCAATAAGGACCGTGTAGAGCTTGCAGAAGCGTCACCCTTTGAAACCAGTGACAGAACTTAAGTTCTCTGACCGTCCTCTCCCCTCTGTATACCAGTAGAAGCACGAGAGGATCGTCCTTTTGGCGCTGCTGAACACTCGTTACATTCTGGTCCCTTTCCCGATACAATAAAATTTGCGCTGTAAACATCAAATTGCACAAAGGAGGTCACTTCTCTCTGTTATAGGGCGACGCATCTTTCCGTTTCCAGCGCGGCAACCAGAAACCTTTCCCGCCTCTTCTCAGAGTGGCGCCTCCTCACCTCGCAAGGCACACTCCCATTGGCTGAGTTATCACCTGGGGAGCTTCCATTGGCTTTTCCAGAGATCTTTCTCACTGGTTGACTTTTTGTTTCAAGGTATCACAGATATAGACAAGCCCGGTGAGATTCTTTAATCTAATATACTCCAGTGTCACTGACGTTTGACGCCTAGTCATTAACGCTTAAAAATAACCATGGTAATAATCAAACAATAACTTAAAACAAAAAGTATTTTTTAGTTCATACATATATACATTTTCTTTTCAACTCTATGAACTGGGTTAGAGATCTGTTCCACAACTTGTGTACTGAGGTCTTAGAACTTATTTACTAAATATACAATGGGGATTGGCTTGACTACATACTTAATAACGAAATTCAGCATTGTTGTAATGATTTATATAAGTTGTTACGAACAAAGTTTCCGATACTAAATTTGAGAAGTGTAATGATTGTTTAATCAATAATAAATATAGCCTCGTATAAGAAATCTCGGCTATAGAGTATATAATAACAGATATTACATGTTATTATTATGACAGGTAAATCATTTATTGGAAATTTGTTGAAACTAACCCAGTTATAAATGTACAAATGAACAGTCTTTGAATTTGAATTTGAAGTGAACATGATTTGACGGGATAATATTCCCCAGGACCCAAACCGGGCTAAGTGTTAGTCCCCTCTAACAACACTGTCCTAGGCTACATGTTGGTCCGTTTCCCACCTCTCCAGACCCCCCTCTGGGCTAGGAGGTTAGGCCTTGATTCCTAGCACATGCGTTAGGCTAGGCCAGACTTTTGCTGCTCCCAGCATGCAAACTGAGCGTGGGGAGAAGTTATTGGCACCCCCAGCGTCTAGGAAGACAGGTGTCAGAGGTCACTACGTCAATATGGGGTTAGGTAAGCGGTCTCTTTATACTATGTGCGCAGCCCGTCCTCCTAAGGTTTCCCAATGTCAAGACTCTGTCGTACTAAAGTGCCCTTATCCTAACCTGCCAGAGAACCCAAAACAGATAACGGGGCAGTATGTCAATTTCGCGAGCCGCTACCATTTTCTGGTACGACGATTTTTGCCTTTAGGTAGAGTATGCGTCAAAATGCGACGCTATATTAGGGAGACAGGTATTGCGCGCGCGCACACAAATGTTCGCTCCCCCCCCTCTCTCTCTCTCTCTCTCTCTCTCTCTCTCTCTCTCTCTCTCTCTCTCTCTCTCTCTCTCTCTCTCTCTCTCTCTCTCTCTCTCTCTTTTACACACACACACACACACTCAGAAGCTAGGAAAGTGCGTCATTCCCACACAAGCCTCGGCCCGTCACACACAAGGAAGACTGAAGGGCACTTGTCTGGTCGGTGAAATGATACGGGTTTATTGTTCAAGTTCCGTAAAGTCCCCCCTCCCCTTCCAGGGGGAGGGGGTCCTCGCTACGTGTTCCGCGAGGAAATTCCCACCTATGAGTGTACAATCTTCACTTGAGGGGCAGCAAGTGAGTATTGTAGACTACTATGACCACTGAGAACACAGCAGTGACCTCGTTTTCCCACTGCCGCGTTCTCCCAGTGGTTCCTACCACTGAGAACTGCCTCGTTCTCTCTGGTGGGTGGACCGAGTGCCAGCGACACACCAGACCAATCCTGGAGTATGCAGCTCCAGCCTGGAGTCTATACCTAGTTAAACACAAGACAAAGTTAGGGAAGATTCAGAGGTATGCCACCAAACTAGTCCCAAAACTGAGAGGTATGAGCTACGAGGAAACGCGAATGGAGCTAAACCTCATGTCCCTGGAGAACAGAAGAGTAAGGGGAGACATGATAACCACCTACAAACTTCTCAGGGGAATTGACAGGGTGGACAAAGACAACTCTTTAGCACGGGTGGAACACGAACAAGGGGACACAGGTGGAAACTTAATACCTAAATGAGCCACAAAGACACTAGAAAGAATTTGTTCAGTGTCAGAGTAGTTAACAAATGGAATACATTAGGCAGTGATGTGGTGGAGGCTGACTCCATACACAGTTTCAAATGTAGATATGACAGAGCCCAATAGGCTTAGGAATCCGTACACCAGTTGAGAGGCGGGACCAAAGAGCCAGAGCTCAACCCCCGCAAGCACAACTAGGCGAGTACAACAAGGGACACAAGCAAGGAAGCTGTGAAATAAAGTGAAATAAAATTGGAGCTTATAGATAAATTGGAAAAGGTCAGCACCAGGCGGCCCAAATAAGGGGAGATGTTGTGGTGGTGGGACCCGAAAAATGCATCAGCACAGACAGCCTCTGTGCTGGAAGGGGGGAGGGGGTTACGGTGTCTGGGGGGAGGGGAAGGGACGGTTACAGTGTCTAGGGCGGTATGGTGCTGATGCTGCATGGTGCCCGGTGTTGCTGCGTGGTGCTGTTATCGTCATGTTGTTGAAATTATAATGTTTCACCTCTTCGAGGAATTGCTGTGTCACTGAATCACAGCTAAGTACAGTAG